TGAATTTTAAAATAAAAAAAAATTATTTCGGATATCAATTTATTATAATTATTTTAATAAAAAAATTTATTACAAAATATTATTATTATCAAATTAAAAAATATTAATATTTTTATCATAATTTACATATTTGATATATAACATACTTTATATTTTTCAGGTTGGGCGGATAAAATCCATGGCTTAACTATTCCGGCTGACGGACCACACCAAGTCCAGACTCTTCATGAACCGATTGGTGTTGTTGGTCAGATAATTCCTTGGAATTTTCCTCTTATTATCTTAGCTTGGAAGCTGGGGCCTGCACTAGCTTGTGGAAACACCATTGTTGTCAAACCAGCCGAGCAAACTCCATTATCAACTCTTTATCTCGCTAATCTTTTTCTCGAGGTATAATTTAAAATTATCGATTTTTAAGTATTTGTCTGTCGAACTTTAAAAAAGAATATTTATGTTACTATAAAGAGAAATGTTTTTAGATAGATATGTTTTATGATTTATTTTATTATAAGGTTATGTTTGTGGCATGTAGGCCGGACTTCCTCCGGGTGTTTTTAATGTGGTTCCTGGATTTGGTCCAACTGCTGGTGCTGCACTTGCCAGTCATATGGATGTAGACAAGGTAATTTATTTACGATCTTCAATATTTTGTAGAGTTTCATAATTTTTTTTTAAATATTTTATTTCAAATGAGTTTATTTTAAATTAGATAAATAAAAAAATTATCCAGATTAAAATAATTCCGTGACATATAAAATAGAGAATGAAATATATCAATTGCTTTTTTATATGAAACATGAGTTATAAATTAGCATAAATAACTTTTTATCGAGCAAGTATGCTTTCTTTTCTGATAAATTTATCTATTTAATTGTCAAAATAGATTGCTTTTACTGGATCGACGGCAACGGGAAGAGCTATCACAGAGATGTCTGCGAAAAGTAATCTTAAACCCACACTTTTGGAACTTGGAGGAAAATCCCCTTTCATTGTATGTGAAGATGCAGATGTAGATATGGCGGTAGAACATGCGAATTTAGCTGTGTTCTTTCATCAGGTATATCGACTAAAATTTTTCTCTTTTGAGATGTAAATTTTAAGAAAGTCAAAATTTTATTTCATAATAAATATATTTATTATTTGCAGGGACAATGTTGTGCCGCTGGCTCTCGTACTTTTGTACACGAGAGTATATACGATGAGTTTGTTGAGAAAGCGAAAGCTCGAGCACAGAAAATTATCGTTGGTGATTCATTCAAATCAGGTGTTCAACAAGGTCCACAGGTAAATTATAGAAATTTAATTATTATAAAATCATCTATGTTACGTAATTTATATTCTTAATAAAATTTTCTCTTGCCAACAAAAATTAAAGTATTAAAGTTAGTGAAATTTGACTTATAATTCCTAAATGAATATCTAGATTGATGCTAAACAATTCGAGAAGACCTTGGGGTATATAAAATTAGGCATTGATTGTGGAGCAACTCTTGAAACGGGAGGCGATCGTTTTGGCAACAGAGGCTACTACATTCAACCTACTGTTTTCTCCAATGTCGAGGTATTTTAATTTGTTAACCAATCCGATTAAGATAAATATTAAATTAACTAAAACCTAATAAGACATTAAAGGATGTGATTCCGAATATAACTAATATGATTATCAATGTGTTGTAAGGATGACATGTCGATAGCAACAGATGAAATATTTGGTCCGGTCCAATGCATCATAAAATTCAAGTGAGTTTCTCTTGATCATATGTGTTTTAACTAAAATGTACAACATTAAATTAATCCTACTAAATTCTGATGTGGGTAAACTGTAGGGACTTGAATGAAGTCATTGGAAGGGCAAATGATACTCCTTACGGACTTGTTGCTGGTGTGTTTACTAAGAATATGGACACTGCAAACACACTGAGTCTTGCCTTACGAGCTGGAACTGTGTGGGTAAATTGTTACAACGTGATCGATATTACGATTCCTTTTGGTGGGTATAAGATGAGCGGACATGGAAGAGAGAAGGGTATTTACAGTCTTTCCAATTACTTGCAAGTGAAGGCTGTCGTTACTCCTTTGAATAATCCAGCATGGCTCTAAACCCTCTAATTATTGATTAAAATAATGGAGAGATTAAGTTGATGTTCTTATAATTTAAGATAATTTTAGAATGTATTTGAATGATGGTTTATTAATATTTTTATTTTATTTATTTACATTTCACATATAATATATATAATTTTTTTAGTAGTTATTGCATGATTCTCACGGTCACTATTTTTTCAAACTACCGATTGTTTTGTGTTGTTTGGATAATTTTGTTTATTTATATGCTTACTCTTTTTTATTATTTATATTTATATCTTTATTTTATTTAATTATATATATATTTATTATTTTATTATTATATATAATCTTTTTAAATATTATATAATTTTTTTATTATCATATTTTATAATTATCATATGATACCATACATTAATGAATCATTTTAAAAATTATCTAAACACATCCTTAAAAAGAGTTATAATACTCATGTAGTAAATAAAAAAAAATAATTTAAAATGTATTATCTCAAAGATATTATTATTATTATTTTCGTAGGTTATGAATTTTCCATCAAGGAAAATGTTTTAAATCAACGTGATATGGCAAATATATGCCACGTGGATTCATGTAAATGTGATGTCACATGGAGTCTATGAATTTAGAGGAAGAATTTGATAAAGCATCAATAAACTGGTGGAGTTAAACATATTATTATTTTTTCCTTAAAATAAAATAATACAAAACAATTTTAAATTTAAAAAACACTAAAATTAAAACCTAAATCATACATATTAAGTTTAAAATAAAATGGGTTTCTGTATATTTCATAAAGACTCAATGAATATTTTTGTAATTTAGCCTAATTTTATTTTTATTTTTATTTTTATGGTTGTTCATATTTTAAGAAATTGTGCATCCACATTCACATATTTAATCTATTATTATTTTAAGTAAGTTCATTTGTATTTTTAAAAAATATTATATTAAGACAAAAGTAGAAGAATGACAAGAGAGTATGATTATTTATATTTATTTTATTCAAATATACTAATACAATAAGATATTATATTAATAGCTCAAATACTAAAGTAATTTTTATATTATTTTAACATATATAAATTGTTCCATATTCTAATTTTTTATTTCTTTATTTTTCTTTTCTTGAAAGGTATTGCACATTGGTTTTTTTTATTTT